CCTAAACTACAGGATTTTCACAAAGGGGGGCATTGAAAAATTTTTCGATCCTTAGGGGGTGGCAGCTTTGAAAATGTTGAGAATCTCTGCTTTAGATGAAGTTCCTAGTATGGAAGTCACATGTTCTAACAAACCATTCCAGATTATTAATATGGATATCATCGGACCTGTGAAACGAAGCTGTCAAGGTAACAATGTTCTGTGTGCTATTGGCTAATGTACGACATTGGAAGAATTTGAATGCAAAATCAACATGTGATGCATTGCTGCAGATCTTTACATACACTGGAATCCCTCAGATTATTGTGTCAGGCTGAGAAACTAACTTTACTGCATTACTGATTAAAGAGTTTCTGAAAAGCCTGGATCTTCACCAAGAATATTACACTTTACCATCCAAGTTCAAATGGCCTCGAAAAGAAAGATTTAATGTTGTTTTGAAGGGAATGATACATCATACAACTAGAGAATTTTTGCAGGATTGGGAGAAACACCTACCATACTACTTTGGGCGTACCGAGAAGTTCCTAATGACATGACTGGTGTTCCGGATGCTTTATGGAAGACATTTTAATGGCCCATTATCTATAAAAAAAAAATGCCATGGACTGATGAAACCCCTATTCCTCATGGACAAAACTAAGCTCAGTGACTGACTACCTGAATGACTTGAAGCTAGAAAAAATTATTGAATACACAGGACTTACAGCTGTTGGCAAGCAATAAGCTTATTCACTCTACCATAATTAGAAGCCTCATCATAAAGAACTTAAGGAAGACGTCAAAGTTATAGTCTTAATTTCTGATTGTGAAAACAAAGTTTATGCAAGATGGACTGCTGTGATCATCATAAAGCAGACTAATTATAATTATGTAGTACAATTGCCAGATAACACTTCAAAGCACATTCGCGCAAACAAGATACGAAATTTCAAGATCGCTGTGAATAATGTTCGCATGATTTATGATGAAGACACTGATTTCAGAGAAGTTGGAAACATTCCCAGAGTTTTTCTACTGAAAGCTGAATTCTATTCTGATGAAGAGTTTTGGTTTTTGCATCTTGAACAAAGCAACAGAAACAAACTTGTGGAAATTTTAAGAAAGCATCCCAATCTAACATCTGATATTCCAAAAATCGACAATATCAGAGAACATAACATCAAACTAAAACCTGAAAATGTACCAAAGAAGCAGAAGCTGTACCAGACATCCGAAATTCTAAAAAATGAAGTTAATGGACAAACTAATGAGTTATTACAGCTAGGACTAATTGTTGAAACAAAAAGAATATGTGCATACAGTAATTTGTGCGTCAAAAAGATGGTCTGCAAGATTATGTGTGGACTATCATTATCTGAACTCAAAAACTTAAACTGATATCTTTCCAATAAAAAATGCTACAGGCCTAATTTACCAAGTGTCTAAGTCCAGCTGCATCACTTTGATTAATCTTGTTAAATGATGACAAAACCCTGAGTGTCACTACTTGACTTCTTTTGTGACACACTGAGGATAATACACTTTGGTAGTTTTACCCTTTGGGTGAAGAAATGATGCCATAACTTTCCACAAGACTATGAACAAACTTATCACCAAACAAAGAAAATGTTGAGTTTTATATTAACGATGTGACTTAACAACATGATTATATTTCCCGATGATTGAAATATGACTGAAAGACAACAGCTTTTGAAACAGTATGAACATTTTAACAATTTCATTTGAATATTTTTTTAAGAGCTAAAATGCTACACTTTGAAGTTTATGTAATACTATGTAATAAGATTCATACTTACGTAAAGTTTGGTAATGAATAATATTTAATGTTAATGAGTGATTTGTATTATTTTGTTTATGTGCTTAAGATAATTCTGAAGCTTTAGGTTTACATTAACTGAATGTTACATCTTTTAATAATTAAAATTTTTCATTGATGTTGAAATAATTTTAATTGAAATTACTAAAAATTGATAAAAATTCCCTTTTTTGTTTTTGTTGTTTTAAGAAATGTTTGCACGTGGATTTGAGAGGTCATTAACACAATCAAATCTTTTAGGAGGGAGGTGTAATGATCTGATGAACACCACACATATGCACTTTAGCTGAACAGCACATACTTTCGCCTTTCATCACGACATCGTGCCAAAATTATAAAAGAAAAATGTGATAATAAGGCTTAGCCTGTGTATAGCAATGTGAGCTATCTAAAACCTTCATCCATTTTGATAGTTGGAAAATGTTCATTGATCTAATCCAAAAATTATGCTTTAATTCAAAACATTTATCTACTATCTATTAATGGCATGACACTGCTCAATAACGCTAATTACAATGCCAATGAATAGGACATCAGCATAAAATTTATATTTTCGTAAGCTTCAAATGTAACTTAAAAATCAATTGGCAGTTTAATAGATTTTTAGAGTTTGAAACAATATGTCAGACTGAATCAGCATTAATGAGGATACAGTGTTCGTAGCCACATTTTAGTTAAAAAAATAAGCACCTATAAGCACTTTTCAAGCACCTTTTAAGGAAAAACGAAGCACCTAATTACATTATACACAACTGCATAACTTTAAAAGAAAAATTAGACTTATAATTTAAAATATGAGCAATGCAATATTTATTAAGAGAATGAGCATTACCTCAACCATGGAAAACAATCAACCTTTTTGGTACTATTCGGTTTCGAGGGCCATAAAAAATTGCCAATGCTGCCAAAAATAATTGCGGCAAGAAAGGCAGTATAATGGTAAATAACTATCTAAGACTGATGTTTTAATTTAAATGAAAGGTTAATTTCATATAATACTTTTTTATTATTATAATTTACATGAAAAAAGCTAAACATGACTGAGTGGGGGCGCGTTTGCTAGATTTGGAGTTTTTGTGCATACATTTTCGTAGCAATTTTGTTAAGGCCCTCAAAACAGAATAGTACCACTTTTTTTTTTTTTTTTTTTTTTTTTTTAATTTTAAATGACAGTTCAATTTACAGAATTATTTTCAATGAGAGAAAAAAAAACTATGCAGAACTAAACTATATTACAAGATTTAATGATGAAATTTCAGTTCAAAATATAGAAAATAAATAATAATAAGCCATATTAATTGTATTCGTTTGGCACCTGATAATAAATACAATCTCTTTTTCCACTCATATTAATATTTAAATAATTTAACTTAAATTAAAATTCTGAACATTTTCTAAATTTTCATTACATAACAGTTTTCCCTTAACATATATTCCAAGCAAAGTAATTTAAGTAAAAAAGAGGCACATTTCTGAAATGAGAAGACGGGAAATTGCTTCATGCAGTCATCCTTTAACAGTAAAAGCTTAACTAACCCGCACACTGAGAAATTGCCGAATATTCTGGATAGTAACTGGAAAAAGAGGAGTGGGGGAGATTGTACCCGTTCTTTAGATTTCTCGGCTAAATAAATGATTTTGACATTTCGATATGTGCATCATATAAAAATAGACCAACGGAACTGAGAAATATTCTGCTTAGAAAGCACAGTAAAACTCTTTTAAGTATTCATAAACAAATCTCAGACATCAAAATTAATTATCTCTGCAAAATCCCGCAAACGTTATTGAGCAATACGTGCGGCATAATTCTTCCACATGTGATATTATGCAATCGGAATCAACAGCTGCCGGTATTCAGAGAATAAAGAACTAAATAAAGGAAAAGAAAGAGACTTACTAATCTGGGGTGCTTCTGATTCTAATTTTGAACACACTGCGTTGAATTTCCGGAATAGAATCAATCTTAGCTTGGGTTGGGTAGACAGCAAAAATTTTATTCCTATTCAATCCAGATTGGACAGTGAACAAAAAAAAAAAAAAAAAAAAAAGTCTGCTGCTTCAATATTAGAGATTTTGTGGAGAAAGGGCTTTTATTTAAGCCATTCCGAATATTATTCCTTAGAAATCTATTCTGTGTAAAAACACACCCCTTTTTGGAAGTTTATACTTCAGCAGTCACTATATTATTATAAATATTCATGCATATACTCATAATATAAGCATAACGATCATAATAAACACGAATATGAACTGACTCCGCGGAACGAGAATGCAAATTATTAAAATCTTGATAGAAATTCAAACGTGTGTAATATTTGGGTGGGAGGAAAAGAATACCGAATGTACCGTAATTTTCTATCGTTTTCGCAATTCTTTAACCAATAGAACGACGTGCACCTGTCTGTACTCTCGCACCTGTCTGTACCATAGGTTACGTTAATGCAGAGAAAGGGGGGAAAAGCAATTTTCGGGAGTATGATTCACTATCTGACGCTGCATATAAGGAAGAAAAGTTGTAGATTTAGTTTTGGCTTTGGTACGGGGAAAAAATGAGCATTCATTAAAAAAAGCACTAAAAGCAAAAAATAAGCACCCCCCCCAAAAAAAGGGGGGCTTTAAAGAAAAAATAAGAACCTATAAGGGCCTTTATATTTTATTTTCAAATATAAGGACTAATAAGCACTTGTAAGGACCGCTACGAACTCTGGGATAGTATAAGGCAGGGCTTTAAAAGCAGTTTGAAATATCAGTGCTTTCCGGTTAATGGGGTGCTGGTCCCCGGACTTGGTTGCCTGTTTATATCCTATCATGAATAGCTGTGCAATACTTAATGCATCCAATGCATGATGCCGAATTGGTGCGATTCTCCGAATTTTTAAGGGTAAACAAATCACATTCTCTCGTAGCAGTCTATTTGTGCTTAAAAAAAAAAAAAAAAAAAAATCAGGAAATGGCACAAATTCACCATTGTGCCCAGCTTGTGCCACTATTCACTCAGATTTTCAAAGCCAATGTTTATGTCTGGTGTTAATTACAGCTCTATTAGCATAAAAGTACCAAAATATCTACATGCAAAATAAGTTGAAATCTGACATTTTTTTTTTTTTTTTTTTTTTTTTATACACGGCACAAACATAAATTACTTTTATAAATATCTATCAATTTTTTTATATCTTACCCTTTGACAATGAAAAATTGACAATCATCTCTTAAATCCATGGCTACTTTCAAAAATATTTCATAGATGGGAGATGCTTTGTCTGGGATGTAAATGATTGTTTTTCTCTTATTCATCTGAAAAAATTAACAATTAGAAAAATATACCAAAAAAAAAAAAAAAAAAAAAAAAAAAAAAGCCAGGACTTTAAATAATACTCCTACGAAGTGATAATTTTATTGACTACAGCAAGTCCACAAATTATAAAGCTAGTAATCCTCTAGAATCACCATTGAAAATAAAATATTTTATAACAGTAAATGATTCATTAGGACATCAAAATTATCTTCATATATATCTAATCAATAAGTAAATATATCATTACTACTGTAGAAGCATTAAATACACAGTAATAAATATATCACTATTACTGTAGGGATCTATTTAAGTATTTATTTTTATTACTACTGTAGCGATATATACAGTCAAAAGTCGTTAATTTGGACACCCATAATCCGGAATGATCTATAATCCGGACCTCAAAGCTAAAAACTTTCTGTGCATGCGCTGCGTTGACACATGCGCATAGGCGTTTACGCATGCACGTAAGACCTTTACGACTGCGCATAATGCGTGTGCGCAAGTGCAGAATACGTTTTCGCGTGCGCGTTTAATGTATAACGGATGGTATAAGCTAAAATTATCTATTTCAGCTAATGTTGATGATTGCGTTCTTCCTTAATCTTCGAACTGGATCCGGCTTATTACTTTTTTCAGACTGTAAGAGCAATTTTATAAAAGTAAACTTGAACTTTCGATTATGTCAAATAGAATTTCCGATGCTGGAGCTCTACAAAACGAAAGTATGTTTCAATGTCCATCAAACAAAAAGTGGAAGTGCTGTATGCAAAAAATGGATAAAGACATGAAAAAAGTGACAGAAAGGTTAGTGAAAACGAAAAAATTTCAATTGACAAGTTAGTCGGTATTCTCGGCACAGCAATTACGGGACTTTGAACAGCGGAACTTTGTAGCTGAACAAGAAATTATGTCTGTTTATAGAAATAAAGAAAAAGTATTTCACATAAAAAGAAGCAACTTAAACAACTTACATTGAAAGAAATGTTTAATAAAGTAAACAAATAAATATTAAGCTTTTTTTTTTTTTTTTTTTTTTTTTTTTTTGTAAATTTTGATACCCTTTAGATCATAATTGTTCTTTATTTCATAAATTACGGTTTCATATTTTTAATTTTAGAATTTCTGCATGCCATCTTACGAGATTTAAACTGATGATCTATAATCCGGAAAAATCGATAATCCGGAATCGCCGAAGTCCCGATTAACGACTTTTGACTGTATTTACAGTATTCTTGTAGTGAAATACTGTAAATAAATGTATTAATACAACTGCAGCAACAAATTCAAAATATTAGGTATAGTGGACCCCTGTCAGTTTGATCTCAAAGACTAGCAAAATTATTCCAATTATCAGCAAATCAGATTGCGAAAAGTATTCTAAAAATCATTTCTTTGAGATATCTGCACTTTGAAGTTAACTGAAATCCAGAATTAATAGAATTCATATAATTTTCACAAGAAAAACTAAAAGCTGAAATCAAGCACTTCAAATACTAATGGTGAAAACAAAATATTTTAACTACATCTGAGAAGTTATATTATTAGGCAGGATTTTCTTATGGATAATTTCCTATGTAATCCAATGATGTTTCTATTTAGCAAAATTATCAATTCATGGAATAATGAAGCTTTACTACCTCAACCCTCAGTTAAATCAACACAACTTTGCTACCATTTAGTTTGATGTATTCTGCTGCGCAGAAAAACCTTACAAATTTAATACGAGTATCTGCAAATTATGCAAATTCCTTTCCTTCTGATAACTATTTTATATTTTTCCAACAACTTGGCTAAACATTGGAAAAAAGACATTTTCACTCTACATTTCAGAGCCGTGTCATTCCTAACAGATGATGATCCATAATATTTTTTAATATAAATGGCATGTTGACAGATTCCAGCTAGAATATACATTGAAAGGCTTAATTGAAGCTTCAGCATAGAGGAGAAAAATTATTTTTTCAATAAATTACTCTTCTCTATATTGCAGCTTTTATTTTTGACTTTTCAGGAAAAGTAACCTTAAATGGGCAAATGTGATTGTTAGAAATGGATATGATATTTCTTTTCTGTTGCAAAACATATGTAAAATGATTTTAAAGATCCTCCAAAGATCAAAACAATCAAGAAATGACTGAAATTCAAGTGTAAAAAAAAAAATCAATGTTGCTTAACTTTGTGATTTGTGCTGTACTTGGAAATGCTTGTGTTGTCAAGAAGTGATTTTTCATCAGTGATTTTAAAGACTGCCCACTGTAAACATATTTCTAGAAATACATCTTTTCTGACTTTGCAAAAGTCATTTAATATTTGCATTTGTTTGTTCAGTTGAAAAGGGAGAAATTGTTAAAATTTGAGATTTGCCATGAACAGAAATAGACGCTGTGCATTAACTTTAGCAACATCAACCAAACAAATGGAAAAACAATACAGAAAGCAACTGTATCCAAAAATCAGATAAACAATGATAATACAATATTTCTAGTTGCCAAAGAAGTGTTGATTATCACGCAAACATATAATTAAAGTTTCATTTTTTCACCTGAAATCTTAACTTCAACAGGATAAGTTAATTACGGCAAAACAATGCTAATTACTATCAAGAGTGCCTTTGAAGGCAACTTTCTACAAAAAATTGTACAGTCAAAAGTCGTTAATCCGGACTCGTCGGGACTTCGGCGATTCCGGATTATCGATTTTTCCGGATTATAGATCATCAGTTTAAATCTCGTAAGATGGCATGCAGAAATTCTAAAATTAAAAATATGAAACCCTAATTTATGAAATAAAGAACAATTATGATCTAAAGGGTATCAAAATTTGCAAAAAGAAAAAGCTTAATATTTATTTGTTTACTTAAATAAACATTTCTTTCAATGTAAGTTATTTAAGTTTTGCTTCGTTTCATGTGATAATACTTTCTCTTTAATTCTATTAAACAGACATAATTTCTTGTTTAGTTACAAAGTTCCGCTGTTCAAGTCCTATAATTGCTGTGTCGAGAACACCGACTAATTTGTCAATCGAAATTTTTTCGTTTTCAATAACCTCTGTCACTTTTCTTCGCTATCAGAAGCGAATTATAATGACGAGGACCTTGTTTTAAATCATATCAAAGACGGAGCATATCGAGATGAAATACTACATTTGGTAAGGAATTATAAGCCAAATAAAATAAAAACATCTGATCTTCAATTATAAGCCAAATAAAATAAAAACATCTGCGCTGAAGATAAGGATAGTGTTGACAGATCAACTTCCAAATCATTACGCGCCCGGCGGGGGGTGGGGCGTTACCCCCGCTGAGCAGCGTGAAATTGATAAACAGATTTCGGATTTCAAAACATACTTTCGCTTTAGATCCTTTACATATTAACAAATATATATCGGAAATTCTATTTGATATAATCGAAAGTTTAAGCTTACTTTTATAAAATTGCTCTTACAGTCTGCAAAAAATAATAAGCCGGATCCAATTCGAAAATTAAGGAACAACGCAATCATCAACATTAACTGAAATAGATAATTAGATAATTTTAGCTTATACGTCCATTATACATAAAACGCGCACGCGAAAACATATTCTGCACTTGCGCACACTCATATGCGCAGTCGTAAAAGGCCTCACGCGCACGCGTAAACGCTTTTGCGCATGTGTCAACGCGGCGCATGCGCAGAAAGTTTTTAGTTTTGAGGTCCGAATTATAGATCATTCCGAATTATGGGTGTCCGAATTAACGACTTTTGACTGTATAGAATTTTTGTTACAAATGGAGACAATAATAATATTTATGCTGTCAAGCTACTGTATTACAAGAATTAATTCCAGAACGCAATTATCAGCAATTTAGACTTTGAGCATGCACTATAATTAAATGTAGTTTCTAACACAAAATACCAAAAATGTATCAATATTTTGTTAAATTTTTTTTTACCCCAATTTTTTTAATCACCTGTGTTTGTTTCATTGAATGAGATAAAGCACAACTGGTTATTTACATAAAGGAAATGATGTCTTCATACAGACTTTCTAAGAGAAACTAGCTTTTATTTATATTACACATGGAGAAACCCATTAACAACATTCATTCAGCTAGTCCTAGATATCAACCCAACTAAGATGAAAATTTTAAAACTTAAATGACAAGCCATATCTTCTAATCATTTAAAAATCTTTTACAGTTTCTGTTCCCTGAATGTGAAATATATTAATAGCATTTTTTCCTTTCACTACAACTTACAGCAAAAGGTAGAAATTTTGCAGAAAAGCTTTACTTATTATTTTCACTTTCTTTGTTACACGTTTCTTTTTTCCCAAGTTAATTTAATTATAAAATGTTTATGCAAACAATTTACATGGAACAATATAACACTGTTCTAAGAGAAATTAGTAAATTGCTAATTTTATAATAACTTGGTAAAATGCTAATTTCATGCATCTTTTAGTTTAAAATGAAGTTTACTAAAAAATTAATAGCTTATTAATAAGCACATGTAAAAAAATGACTGGAATAAATCTTTACTTTGTAAATTAGGCTTGCTAATAAACAAAATAAATATTGCATAACCATCAAGTACAACTTGTAAAAATAAACACTGGGTATAATACAATACATTTAAAAAAAATTAAAGGCTTATGCAATAAACTTACATCAACATTTTGAATATCGATTGCACTTTCTAATTCTTTTACAGGATCCCTCAATAGTTCTCTGATGTAATCTGTGAGAGCTTCCAGAGATCTTTGACCTCTGTATTCTCGTTTCATCAGCTTTCCATTTCTAATCAATTTCAGAGTAGGATACTTAGAGATTTTGAAACGCTGAGCTAAATTTGCTATATAAATAAATAAATATGAGATCTGTTTGCCTATTTAATCTACAAAATTATTTAAAATGACTGATTAGATTTGAAATAAACATCATTCTTTACATATTTACCCTTCAAGTGATAAAAGATTTGCCCAAAAGCCTCAACTCCCCGAAAAGGCCATAAATAAATATTTTCTTGATTATATATTACACACACACAAATAAAGATTTATTTACATTTTCCGATTATTAGCACCACTGAAACGTCAAAGAAATTTTAGCAGCTAATTTTTCGCCAAGCTAATGCACGAAAGGCAACAATCATTTTCAAAATGGTAGCACAGAAAGAATTCCATAAAAGAGCAATCAATAAAATTTAAAAAGCAAGAAACATAAGTAACATTAATTCAGAAACGCCATGGGTTATCACATCTTTGTGGCATGCTGCTTTGCCTCTAACTTTTTAGCAGGCATGTGACTATCATTCACAAAACACCTCAAAGAAAAATTCTGCAACTAATTATTTGTGTTTACCATAAAAAAGAGCCCTTGCATATATGCAGAAAATGTTATACTACTTTAATCATAGCAGTTCTTTAAATAAGTTATAAATATATGGAGTATTTTTTAAATTTAATTTCCTTGCCTATTTAAAAAAAGAAAAAAAAAAAAAAAAAAACTTACAAATCTGCCCCCACAATGAATTTTCATGAAATTTAATTTTGTTTAACCAAAAGTGAGCTTAAATTATACACATTAGTGGTTTAACAAAATTCTATCATACAAGCAGATACACACTACAAGTATTCCATTCAATAACAACTGTGTGAACTTTTTTTTTTTTTTTTTTTTTTGCATTAGCTGTTAGTGTGTAGGAAGGAGTTTTACAATGCACATAACTGCCAATGAAATTGATTAAAATTCAGAATTCTTGTTATGAACATTAACCCTTTAACTGTCGAGTTATTTTGATGATTTGGGTACACAAATTGTCAATTTTTTTTATTGGAAAAATCAAATGTTTAGTACAAAATAAAATATACTTAAGTAGTTAAAAATTGATATTTTGAAGTACATGGGTAAAATTTTTAAAGTTTTGTAGAAACTGCGTATTTGCTTGAGGCGGCTGCCACTCAAAATGGCAGTTGTAAAGTTTGCTTCTAGTGGAGCATTATTTTCTAGAAATGAAAGAAGATTAATTATTTTCTAAAAAATAAATAAATGGAAAAAAATAAATAAAAGTGAATGCGTATCAGTAGTTCAGTAATTCAGTCTTGTATGGTACAACTGGAAACACTTTTTCCAAGCACAAACCAACTCCACAATCACTACACCAGCACCGTGTTTCCTTCCTTATTTATCTTTTTCGCATTTTTATCCTTTTTTGAACAACACACTTTGCACTGTCTTGTAGGCTCACGTTTTACAGGAGTAGGAGGAATATAGGAAATAAAATGTCGTTCAGTAAGACGGGCAAGGTTATCTATTGTAGATGGTCTGCCAACATTCTTTTGTCCAGAAGCTGCATCATATTTATGTAAAAGCTCTTCTACAACTTGGATTCGAAATTCTAAAAATGCAATACGTTTCCCAACTACATTTTTATAGAGTAAATATGAGTTCCAAAGTACCTTGTCTAGTAAATGTAAAAATATCTTTTTATAATATTTTTTCTGACGTTTTCGGATTGTTGGATGAAAGGATATTTCCTAATCACAGCGATCTACACCACCCATAGTTAGACTGTAGTCAGAAACAATCTTCGGCTTGAGTATATCTTCATTTTTGAGGCTGACCATGGAAGTATCACGAATACTGCTTATCAAACACACATCCTTCATCTTCGGTAGAAAAATCTAAATCATCTATATAACGTTTCAAAGAACTGGACGCCATTTTACAACAAAAAGATCCCGTGCACTTTGAACCAAAGAACTTATAACCTCTAACCTTTGAAATCTTCAGTTAAAGTGCTGTCATCTATTGAATTGAGCGCACATTAACTTTTCCCGAGATACAGTCGGGTTTGACAAAGAGATGAAGCCGAAATAAACGTATCCTGATATATATTCGGGTATAACAATACGATGCACTCAAAAAAAAAAAAAAAAAAAAAAAAAAAAAAAAAAAAAAAAAAAACCCCGAGTAATACTCGGGCGTGACATTTTCGAACACCAGTGCTGTGCCCGAGATTATCTCGGGCATGACCATGACAGTTAAAGGGTTAAAGAACCTCAAATATTCAGCTTTTTTTTTTTTTTTTTTTTTCTTGGTCTAGACATTAATTTTAGCTTACTGTATGAATTACTGAATAATCAAATCACAATAACATTCTCATATATATAATTATATATAATTATATCTGATTTCATCATTATATCCGATTTCTTACAATTAGTTTTATCCTTACTACTATTATTTTAAAAACACTGAAAGACTTAAATAACTTCCCATATAGAATAGCTGAAACATTAAAAAAGCCCCCAGTATTCGGGATTGTCTTATAGGGCAAACACAGAAAAAATTATATAAATTAAAACCATTATAAAATATAAAAATCACTCACCAATATATTTAAAATCCTGCAAAATTCTTACACTTATCATCTATAACAAATAGCTCCTCAAATATATTCTTATATTGTTAAGAGGTTCATCATATACGTGCTCCATTTTGTACCTAGCAAGTCAATTTCAGTTTTTTTAATCAATATCCCATAACAAGTCACCCTCACTGCCATCCATAGCATTAGAAATTCATAACTTTAGAAGGATTTAATCACTGTTTCCACTTTTACTTTTTTCTCACAATTTGATTATGAAATCACATAGCACATCAAATGTTACAGCCTGCATAGCTCCAGCTTTTGTAACTTTTTGCTACTAATCATCCAGTTATTTCATTGTTCAGAGATGTGATCTTTGAATGGTTTATTCAGGGAGACATATAAAGATTGTAGCATCAAAGTTAAACCCTCTGGTATAACAGTAATCTTCGTATTGTTCCTTGCTAAGCGATTTTTAGTGTTCTCAATTACATAATTGAGAAATATATTCCTCATGAACGAAATGCATTGATTTCATAGTACACCTGGTCTCTTCTGCCACACATTTTCATTGTAAAATTTTAAATCATTCTATCTTCACATCTTTTCATAAAAAGAAAATGACAGGTGGGAATTTTATTTTAGGAGTAGTTTTCCTCATGCACGTTAATACTACCGTAAACCTGTCTTTTCATAGCCTGTACTTCTGACCCGAACAGTTTTTACGCCTTTTGTTTTCATAATTGCTTATCAAGTCGAAGTTCATTAGTGTTTGATACATATTTCCAATATTAGATAATCAAAAGTCATATTTTTGCCTCATACAATAACTTGTGAAAACTCGTGACTTTATGGTCAAGATCTAGTGGTAATTTCTGAGCTATTTTTATTTTCTGCCATAGTACCAGATTTTTTTTTCTTGTTCATGAAATGACTGCACCAACCTACTCTTGCTTTTAAATTCTTTATCTTGTTCTAGATTGGCCTGTACTCCTTTCAATACATAAGAACTACTTATATTTCTTGTAAAAACATAACAAATCTGCCTCTGTTCTTGTATCCCTTCTGAAATGTTATTTTCTAAATCTGACCAGCAAGCTATTCCTCTCCTCATAGAACATTTTTTTTTTTTTTTCATTGCAATTACTTTTAATGAGATCTTCATCCTTGTTGGAACACAGTTGTTCAGATTCTTTAGCCTGCTTTTATGACTTTTAACTTAAAGCTTGTTTCCTATTTTCTTCTTTTCATTAGTTCCATGATTAGGTCCACACTTTATATATTTTACGCCGATTGGACAATTTACAACGAAACTTCTTAGTGATACACTTAGTCTATAAAAGACGGGGAAATTTTATATCCTCCATTTTACTCGGCCAATTGACAAAATTTGACTTGCACTTTTCATGTTCTGAAAACACGACACATATGTAAGCTAAGATATTCATTTTGACATAAAAACCTAACTTTTCTGAAATAACATGCTTATTTTTATTCATATTTTGATTATATAACTCAAATTATGCCTAAAAACCAAATTTTGTAAAACTTGGCATGAAATTTAATCAGTAATTCGTAAATTTATTGTAGCACACTTTTTCCACTTTGTGCCGTGATTAATTCATGCCAAACTCCTCAGTTTAAGGTAACCTATTTCAATTTCCCTTTCATTCTACAAGACTGGAAAAAAGTATTTTACTTTTTTTGCATATATATTTTACTTCATACTATATTTTTTAATAACACTTGTTATATTTACTTTTTTCTTTTTAGAATTTCAGTTTAATTCTTTGAATTGCATGGTTGAATTACAGCACTTTAAATAGTTATTTTTAAAATTTATATTTATAATATTCATCTTTAGCATTCTTGCTAGCCAATGCTTTAAATCTGCACTAGTAAAATATATGAGTCAACTTATTATATTTAGTGTGCAATGTTTCTTTTGATCTTTCTCCCATTTTTAGCTTAGATTTCAAGAACAAACACCAAGTAAATATAACAGCAAATATAATACTAAATGTTCATTTGCACTACAGTCTGGTAGTTTGAAAACTAAAGCGTTAACGAAACACTACTGTTTTGTGTTTAAAATATAAGTAATACTTTAAATATTTGCAAATCAAATAGTAAATTATAACTTGAACAGTAGCTATTGTAACTGGAAACAACAGTTAAATCTTGTAGACCCTATGAGACAGATAGCAAGTTATCATTACATCTTGATTAACTTGCAAAATACAAAAGGCTTAAATAACCTTTTTATTTTACTTCTAGTTTAAACATAAAGGCACAACTTGTGAATATTTTAAATGAACACAAAAGACAATTTAAAGCAGCGACTAGCAAGAATGCTACAACCAGAATATAATTTTTAAACAGAGCTGGTTAAAAATACTAACAGCAATACATGATTGCCAGAAGCTCTCTAAACTAAGGATTCAAAACCCTCAACTTAAATACACACAAAACTTGCCTTCTGGTGAGGAATACGGAAAGAAGTTATAGTAAAGACTTATTCGTAATGATGCACAAATATGAAATCAGCAAAATAAATTTTATTCTGTACAAAATGAAATGAAGTAAAATAATAGACATTAAAATGGCAAAGGTAAAAATTTACTGTTATGAAAGCAAAAAAGAACATCTTTAAACTTTATATTACTATTCTTCAGTAATCAAAAAATAGCTTTTCATGTATTAATAAATAGGCATTATTAATAAAAATGAAAATTAAGAAATTTCCCATGAATTATCCACAGTAAAAGTTTATGTGGAAATTTAAGGTTAAAAATAACTGTTGCAATTCACTGAAGATTATAAGGAAGTACATAAACTATATTTGGCATCATTATCGCTTATAACAAATATCACAAAGTTCAAAATGTGCTAATATATAAATTCATGGATATATTAAATTTATAAAACTAACTTTAAAGTACAAATTTTAAATATAAATCAGAAAAATGGGCAAATTTTATTTAGATTGAACCTAAATTTTGAAAGTGATAGACTCAAGTAAGTTTAATTAAAAAAGAGAATAATAAATACATATCAAACTTAATTAACATCGAGGAGCTAAAATTTTGGGACCTAATTTTTAAAAAACTGTCCAGATGATTTTTATAAAACTTGGCACTTTGACAATAATTCGATGCATAGGATCGAAATATGGAAATAAATCAGTATGTCATTTCAGAAAACTCAGATTTTTTATCAAAATACCTAAATTAAAGCAAAGCTATATACAAGTCGAATATATATTTTAAGTTGTGCTTTCGAGAAATGAAGAACACAAGTTAAATTTTGTCAGTCAGCCCCTAGAATGGGAGATATGGAAATGTTTTTTTAGGAGGGGGGGGGGGAATCAGTGTACATGTAAGTCCATGACGTGGCACCTGCTTCTATAGTGTTGCCAGATGCAAGAACATTATTTGTTCCAAATAATTACTTATTTAAACTAAATTCAGAGGCCATTGATATTTCGGGAGTTGCCTTATAGGACACGTATATGCTAAAACTATAAAACTTTGACAAAAATTTATACATCATTTTGTCCGCAAAAACAGACAATATCTCTTTACAGTTACTATACATAGTCCAATAGCCACAAGACTGGTGTTATACTGCTTAGGAGGGCTGGACAGCATCCACGAGCTATTCTCTTTGCATTTTTACATTGAATAAATATTTAATAATCTTATTGTTTTATCCACTGCAGTATTAAGGAATGCTATTTATTTTTAGTAGTTATTTTATTTACTATGATTGAGATGTTTTAACATATTTTTTTAATTTGTAAACCTAACATTTGATGGTACCTAAGAATACCATAGGTGCCAAAAGTAATGCTAGTTTGCTAATGAATGTATATCTTCCTGCAAGAACATAAACTTTAAGGTAAAACAAAAAAAGTAAGACATCTCTTAGATCTCAATAAAACGACACATTATTCTATAGAGCAAATGAACATTATTCTGTATGATGAACAATTCCCTCCTACTCTGAAGCTATATTATGGGCAATAACAGACAGTGTTGACCAAAAATTTATAAAAAGAATGATACCTATAACAGTTGTCAGTTCCAAAATGTGATGAACAAATAACTTAGAAAAAAAAAAAAAAAAAAAAAGAGGTCTTAATGATGAAAGTTACTAAATATGATTAAGTGTTGAAAATTATGTTCATGATATAGGGTAAATGAAAAATTTAATAAAGATATTTTTTTATTGTTAAATTTTCTCAAAAGAACTTTTAATAAGGATGATTCATTTTAAGTTTCCTCTTCATATTTTTTAAGTATAATTACTTAAAGCTTTCACATTTTGAATATCTACACTGTATATATATATAGCTGCACATAAAATATTATAACATTCTGTTATCATTGCAATTTTTACAGATAAACAATACGTATACAGATAGATATATAGAAAAAATATAAACACAGTCAACTGTAATTTCTTTTAACTGAAAATGAATATGGAAAATGCTAAGTAATGCAATGTTTCACATTTCTGACAAACATATTATTGACAGAAACAAAATCAATTTATCAATGCAAATGTATTATTTAATATATACAAAAAAAGAATTCGGTTAAAAGAACAAAATTTACAATTATATAAAAACTAATTAATAAATTTCATGAAAAATAGCATGAATTATAATTGTTAAGAATAATTAATAATTTTCTTACTTTCTGCAACAGAATCAACTTTTCCAAATAAAACTCTAGAAGTTTGCTGAAGAAAATTAAAAATAATTAACATTCTCAGCATTTTTATTTTATGATTTATCACAATAAAGTACATTTTTCTGCACAAATAAATAAAATACATATGTTATCATAAATGCATGAAATCCACTTATTTACTGTGCTTCTTAATTAACCGTGCATACAATTATTAATTGTATTTTTCTGAAAGAGCTATACAACACAGTTTGAGTGCCATGGTGGTCATTTTGGCTTCTTTCTTTTTCCCCACAGTTCAATACTAGGAAAAGGGAATGACCGGGAACAGCAGCAAGGAAAACATTCTCACATTTCATGATAAAATTCTCCAAAAACCCTACCGTGGGAGAACATGATTTATATTATATTGTTTTTTTTGTGAAAGCTTCATCTATTTCCATAATTTTGTAGAGTTCATCGATTTCTTTTGTTTAAAAACAGGAGAAAATGACAAGAAATTGATTCCTATCCCTCTCATGTAATTATTCCAATCAACTATTCTGTTGTGATTCGTTTGAAGCATGCTTTATATTTATAAAACTCAACAAAAATTAATTCTGGATATCATTAAGCAAATAAATTATTAGTAATGAGAGCAGGATTGGATTGGATTATTTAATTATGGCAAAGCACATGAGGGCTATCTGCCTAAAGGGAGGGATGCCTTCTTGGAGGACTTTTTAAGGGAAAGTGGCTCGTATACACGTTACACATGGGAAAAACCATGAAAATGCCCATGCAGCCAGCCTGTTCGCGGGATTCGAACTTCGGACCGAACTACTAGTGTTCAGCGTCTATACCGCTCGGCCGCTGGTGGGCCCAGTAATGAGAACAGCTTGTGATCCAACAATAAATATTTTTTAGACACATTTTAATTTCATAAAGTGATTATTTGAATGCAATTTTTTTTTTTTTTTTTTTTTTGGAAAAAAATTCCTTTTCTGAAGAAACAGGACAGTCACTTGTTGATCTCTTGCCAAACCCCAAGTCGTATAAACTATTGCAGGGGGGGAAAAAAAAAAAAAAAAAAAAAAACTGATTAAATAAAAGGCATGATTGTGTGAGTGATTCTTACGAAGACAATTATCACTTTTAATATAAATGGATTCATATTACTTCCTGGACATATGGCCTATCTTGATGAAAAATACAAATTTTGAGATTGTTTCTTTTTTTGAGAATGAAGATTTCACAAAATATTTGTGAATTCTTAACACATGACACAAGGATTTTCACATTTTTAACAGAAGTGCAGGAAATATAAAATGAAAGCTGCCTAAAAAATAAAAGCTATAAAATGAAAGTCTGATAACAAGAGCAAAATTCAAATCTTAGAAATTATTATGCTACGAAATAGTTCACATGGTTGTTAACCTTGAAATAAAAAATCGGGAGGTTCACCTGCCAAAAAACAAAAGTATTCGGGAGGTTATCATGCTGTGTGACAGCATCATTTTAAAGGAAATCAAAATTGATTTAAATTCGCTTCATAGAGCAGTTTATTCAACTGAATCAGCTTATTCAACTAATTATCATTCTGATGTAAAAAATACTAATTACATATTCTAACCTTCTTATGCTGAAATAATCCTGATGGGTAGGAAAAGCTTTAATTTATCAAAAAAAAAAAAAAAAAAAAAACTTTTCAACACATTAAAAATTAAATTTATAATGAATGTGCAAATTACTGTGCGGATAAACTTAGTAATGTACACTGCTCACAAAAAAAAAGGGGGGGGGACAGTGCTACATCTCCCGTTCTATTGGGCCGATTGACAAAATTGAAACTGCGTTTTTCATGTCTTGAAAGTGCGACTTAGGATATATATTAGATTTATATATAGCATTGTTCTAACATCGGTATTTTGACACAAAATCAGACTTTTTTGAAATAACATATCAATATTTTTCCATATTTTGATTCTACGACTAAAATTATGCCAGAACACCAAGTTTTGTAATACTCGTACGAGTAGTTTTTAAAATATTAGCTCTCAAAATTTTAGCTCCTCAATGGTAAATATTTATTAATATCTCTTTTTTTATTAAACTTTTATTATTTTTCCTTTCATATTTCAAAATTTAGGTTAATTCCAAATAAAATTTACCCATTTTTTGTGTTTTTTATTTTTTTTAAATTTCTATTTTAAAATAATTTTTATAAATTTTTGAAAAAATTTTGAAATAAAACCTATAAAATTTTTACCATCATCTTAAAGTAGGTGTATTTTTAAGCATAACTGCAAAAAATTAGACTTTTTTATTCAAAATTTTGTAAGATAAACACGAATTTACATATTTTCGCATTTGGAAATTTGGCATCTTTTTTTTTAAGCGATCATAACACCAAATGTGCTTTATGGATTTTTGTTACAGTGAATTGCCACAGCTATTTTTAACCTTAAATTCAAGTAAAATTTTAATTATATGAACTTTTTTCCCTCAACGATGCGTAATAAATATTTATTAATACTATATGAAAACCTTTTTTTTTAAATTATAGATTATATTATTCAAATTTTTAACTATTTTTTTTTTAAATTTCTCTCTTTCTTCCTTTTAAAAAAAAAAAAAAATAGTAAATTTTTACCTTCGGCGTTTTATCGTCTGCTACTTTACCTTTCTTTAACTTCGTTTAAATCGAATTGTCTAAAACTGAGAATTTTCGCTTGATGTTTATTTGAATTTTATGAAAATATTTTATGACATTAACTGCATAATTTATTTCTAAACAAACTGTTGCTTATGAAGTGGCTGAAAGAGCGGCTTGATACTATCATCCATACTTTTAAAGCACAGTATATATTTATAGAAACATAAGATTTAGAATAATCATTTTTATAAGTTAAATTATGATATAAACATTCAACCCTCTAGAGACTGAATTAATGGAAGTTCAATGGTTATGTAGAAATGATCTGCAGCTACTTAATGGCTGGTTAAGTCAGCAGATTCTATGGACAAGTAAGAATAATTATATAAACAACACCCAACATTCTGGATTCAATTAGCAACGAGGATACGATGTTTATTAAATGAATTTAACAAGTTTTAAAACATAAAAAATCAACTCATTTTTTATCCTAAAATGTATTTTAGTGCGTAGCGTATTTTCATTATATCCTTAAAATTCTAATTTAGAATGTAATTGTCAAGAACTGAATCCTAATCATCAGTAATATAATAAGTAATTATTACAGTTATTAATAAATCCTTCTTATAAAGTAATTGCAAATATTTTTAAAAAAACTGTCTGAATGAAAATATTTTTCTATGCAAATATTTATAATTTTATATTAATCAAGATTGCACACGATATTATTTATTTACACTTCACTTCTTACTGTCAATTCTAGTAGAAGTTTCAAATCAATTATATTTATTTAAGGATTGGATTGGATTATTTAATTATGGCAAAGCACACGAGGACTATCTACCTAAAGAGAGGGATGCCTTCGTGGAGGACTTTCTAAGGGAAACTGGCTCGTATACATGTTACACATGGAGAAAACCACGAAAACGCAAATGCAGCCAGCCCGTTTGCGGGATTCGAACCTCAGACCGAACTACCAGTGTTCAGCGTCTTTACCGCTCAGCCACTGGTGGGCTATCACCATCTAAGTTTAGAAACAGCGTACTGTAACAGCAATTCAATTATTGGCGCCTTATCTTTCACGTTACTCCCGATTGGCAAGCTACATGATTTTTAATGAGTATTCGGGTTTTGCTAGTAACTTCACTTGGAAATCGCGCTTAAACTAGGTTAGTTGGTTGTTTGAACATAGAAAGAACATGAGAGCTATTTGATTAAGATGCTTTCATAGAGAACCTTTGTAAAGAGAACCTAGAAAACTACGAAAACCAACGATGCAGTCTGGGTTAGACTTCGCAACAAACAATTAGTATTTAACAATCTTCAAATGCTAGGCAACTGATAAGGCTCCAATTAAATCTGCAATTTAATATTTTATTTGCAAATATTTAAAATATTGTTGTATTCTTAGACACAAAAAGCAGAATTTAAGTTTTGTTAACTCGTTAGTAAACTACCAAGCCATAGTGCAAATGAATATTCAATTTCTTTTGCAATAATTGTATTCACTTATTATTCTTGGAATATGAGCTAAAGAAGGAACGTTCTTGGAAGATTAAAGAAGTGTTTAAATCCAGTGATATTAGGTTTGTCTTAGAAGCTCAGGATCAAAACAATTCTGCAATTGCCCGAGTAGTTGACTTGTAAATGGCTGTGAATTAAGCAGATGACTTTTAATCTTACGTTTCCAGTCAGAAACGTATTCCAAATGCTTTGTATTGCATGACAATGCATCTTTTCATTATTCAATAACCAGTCAGAGAACCGCTTGTGTTCCGAAAATAAGTATGTGTACTCAATCGTCCTGAATGTTCTTCAAATTTGTCTTCTTGTGATTTTTTTTTTCTTTCCCAAAAACTAAAGTTGCCTCTCAAAGGAAAGTTTTTTGACATTGAAGAGACAAAAGAAGTATGACATCTACTTTTAGAGGCAAGTCAAAAACAGATCTCTACAAGCTTTCTCTTCTACATGTGCAGTCAGACAAAAAGTTGCACCAGCATAAATTCTATAATCCATTTTTATTACACTCTGATTACTTTAACATACAGTGAATATATACTAAATTTTTTATTTCAGCTTAAGTCATTCGGAATTTTTTGATGGAATTGTTGTCGGAACTAGGACTTAGAAGATAAGACAAATTAAATATTTCGATAACCCATTAAGTTCAAGGTCGAAGTTTCAATATTTCACTTTCGGAGAGAAAGGAAATTTTTTCAGTTTTGGTCCATTATCGTAAATATATTTGCTTCGATTCTTTATTTTTTCCATAAAAGCCAAAAATCTTACGCATGGTATACATATAACGCATAGCTTCAAATTAAAATTTAATAATATACAGAGGTGGTTATAATTAAAGTTCCGCATTTGAAACTGGTCATAAAAGGAAAACTACTTGGATCAAATGTTATCAAACT